TGCCTCCCACATATCACCCTGACCTATTCAGACACGTCTGCTGAAAGCACTCACTACTCGGCCTCCTTTGTTGTTCAGTCGCTAAGTCTTGTCCGACTCTTTGTGACCCCATGGACTGCAGCACGCCAGACTTCCCTGTCCTTCACTATCTCCCAGAGCTTGCTCAAACTCATGTCCACTGAGTTAGTGATGCCATCTAACCATCTCATTCTCTGCCACCCTCTTTTCCTTTTGCCTTCAAATACAGCCTCCACTGGAATTAGAATCCAGGTTAAAGATGACCTGGAGTTCACTGAGAAAGTTCCTCTCCTCCAGTCTCCCACCTATAGTCAAAAGAACTTGCCATGTCGGGAAGGAGGACCATTAACCATTTCACTTGGTCTCCGTGTCCCACCTGGAAGAGACAGGGGAGAGAGGCAAGGTTCCATTCAGGGCTGCAAAGCAGTGTGGAGTCAGGGCACCCAGTCTGGGCAGTTCTGTGTGCACCTCCCTTCCTGGACTCGGGTTTAGGGGGTATGACAGGAGGGTGGAGGAGAACGCTGACGAGAATCCTATCTATCCCTTTCCACCAGGACTGCGTGTCTGGGGCCACCCAGATCCTGTGATTCTCAGCCAGAACAGCCCTCTGCTCAAATCCCTATGTCACCAGCCACCAGCCAGCCCAGCCCCCACTGAGGCAGACCAGAAGCTTCACCACTGCTTCTCTCCATCTCTGAGGGTGTTCTGCAGGGCCCAGATCTAACCCATCCTCAAGCTCAAGCCCCCTCCAGCTCCTGGATATATCCCACACCTCGAGTTCCTCACCACACAGCCCATGCCTTCCCCATCCCTTCCCCAGCCAGTGTGGTGGGCCCCTGGGTGGGGGAGGAGGGGTTGACTACCTTCGGGGGCAGCTTCCTGAGTTCACAGGCCCCACAATAGTTGCAGCCCAGGCCTGGCCACTGTGAGGTTTCAGAAGTGGGGATACGACGCAGCTCCCTGTAGGCTGAGGAATGCCAGTGAAAAGGCTCCCTGGAGCCCGCCAGGCAGAAGGCTCCCCTGGGAACACGGCGGAAACACAGGGAGCAAGAGTGAAGAGACAGAAGGGAGGACACCCAGTCCCAAAGACACTGTTTGGGTTTCTAGATCCAGCCACTCCCAAAGCCCTGGGCTTCGACATAAATCACTTCATAGAGTGCTTTCTGCTTACGGTAAGAACTGGCTCTCTGCTACTTGCCTTTGCCTGACCGACACTCATGGCTAGCCTTCAGTCCCAGGCTGTTTCACTGTTGCTATTTCCACTGAGGAGACGGTTACAAAGAACACAGAGCCACACGCTGTGGGGGCTGCACCACACCCTCAGTGCCTGGCTTGTGCTGCTCAAAAGGACTTCAGCAAATGACAAAGTACTGCCTCTTCTGGACTTTCAAAACTGCCCTTGGGCATCGAGAGTTGCCACTGTAATGAATGCCAAAGGTCTACTGAATGAAAAGGTTTTTTTCACAAGCCGTCCCCGCCCCCCACCCCCTGGGCCTAAGTCACCCAAGGGGCGTCGCCCAAGCCCTCCCTGTGCCGAGGGGCTGGCACACCCCTGCGCTGCCCTCTGCAAGGCCTGGCACGGAGCTGACCTTGACCCCACAACCCTGAGCATCTTTGGGGTTTCTGAGAATGTGCTGGGGAAAGTTCTGGGCCAGGCGGTTTGGAAACCAGGGGGGCTAGGCCAACATGAAAGCTTGCATGAGATTTACTGTAAGCAACTCGAGATCTTAGGAAAGAAAATAGATGGCTTGAAATCAAGCAGAAAAATAATAAAGCCTTCTCAAGGCTTTGCACTCAGCCTGGAGTAAACAAAACTCAAAGGCCAGCTTTGCTGCTCTTCTTTCAGCCTCTGAGGGTGAAGGGGGCAGGCTGCACCCTACTGCATCTGTCTGTACACGGTACCCTCACCCAGGCTCCACCCAGCACTGGGGACAGCCCACGACAGGAGGAAATGACTCTGGGGGGACAGCCTCCTCTGGGATTCAGACATGAGTCTCAGAGCCTTGCTAGAGGGAGGGTCGGCCATGCCCTCAGTCACACTCACTCCCGCACACACACAATCAAGTCACCCTTCCCACAATCTCAAGCACAACACCAACACCCACATCATCTCACACTCGGGCCTGCAGACTCACTCATCTCTCATCCACACACATCCCGCCACACACGCACACAGACTCACACTATGTTTGCGAAGAACTTAGTGTGTTTCCCAGCCACCCCTGCTCCGCTTCTCCTGGCTGAACAGCATATGATCTGAAAGACTTGTGCTCTCTTTTGGGTTACCACGTTATGCCCCAGATCACCCTGAAATGGTATCAAAGGATTCAGCAAAGCTAAATCTGAACCCCAGAGTAGGAGGCCCTTAGGTTCACCAGGTCCTGTGGTTTTTAAGCAGTGTTTGCAGAACTGGGATTTCTGCAAAGAGGAGTCTCCAGGCAGCAAGGAGGACCCATCACCCATTTGCAGGACATCCCCATGGCCTGATCTACACCACGAGGCACCCAGCCAAGACTGAAGGCAAGACAGAACAGCACAGGACAAGAGAAGCTCTGAGCACAGATAGGATAGGACGGGACTAATCACAGCCGCCATCCAAGACCTCCCACCCCCTGGGGACCTGCCAGGCACACGACAGGTACGTCTTCATTTAACCACGTGAGGTCAGAATGATCAGCCCCATTTTACAAAGCTAAGAAACTCGGGCTCAAAGGTGTATGGAGGCAGGCATGAAACCAAGTCTGTTCTACTCCCAAGTTCAAGTCCTTAAACAACAAACCCAGAGAGTCCTATCTGGAACCTGGCTGCCCGAGGTGAGCTGTGTAACTCTTGGGCAAATCACTCAACTCGCCTCTCAGAGCCTTATTTTCTCATCTGAAAGATGCTGACAGAGGTGGCAACAGTGCCACCTAACAAGATTGCTGTGGGGATTAAACGCGTCTTGTGTAAAACGTTATAGCCAAGGACCTGGCAGGTGGAAGCTTCCTAGATGTTGGCTGCTGTTCCTTCTTACTTCTGATGAGAATGCTCTCTATGCTGCCTACTTAGGAGAAGGGAAAGGGGAGCCACAGGAGTAAGACAAACCCCGCCAATGCGCTGCCGGGGCCAATGCTTGAGCGGGTCTCTGTGAGGTCCTCCTGGCAGGCAGGGGCCAGGATGGCTGTAGTTGCCCAGGAAGGTTTCAGAACCACAGGCCTCCAGTTCGCACGGAAGGTCCTCTGGGGCCCCGAGCAGGAGAGACCATCTTTCCATACTCTCTCTAGGGCCAAGAGGACCCCCACAGTGTCATGTGTGTCTGCATGTGTGTCTGTGTGTCTGAGTATGTGTATGTCCCTTTCTGCATTTGTGCATGGTGGAGGCGGAGGGGCCTGGCAACCCCTTCCCACAGGCATGAGGTTGTGCTGGTCCAGCGGGGCAGCCTCCCCAACACAGATGCCCCACAGGTACCACGGCTGAGGTAGGCACCTAGGGGTCTGACTTGGTTGGATGGGGTGGGGAGGTGGCAGAAGCCACCCCAGTGGTGGAGCTCTAGAGAACATGAAGCAAAGCCTGGATGGGGGGCCCCCAAGGCCCCTCAAATGGACACGGCTGCCAGAGCAGCTCCCTAAGGAGCATGCGCATGAACAGCGGGCCCAGCTTCCAGGCTGGCAAGTGGTACCAAGAGCAGAGGCACTCCAAGCACAGAGGCCTTGATCCCCATAGTCAGGGGGCCCCTGTGCAGAGGGGGAAATGGGCCCAGAGGATTGCAGAAAGGCCTGGTCCTCCTGTCAGGGAGCTCAAGAGTATCCCCCGCACACCCGTCAGTCCAGGGATTAGCAAACCCTGGCCTGGGGAGAACGCAGTGCAGCGGCTTATGGTCTCCATGCACGTGAGCCCAGCCAGGAATGAATCATATCATTATGGCAGGATTAGAAGAAAAATGCCATTAGAAAGTGCACACACACGCATTAATAAGGTCAGTAGCAGTGAGTAGCAGGCCGGCCCGCAGCACGAGTCTGCAGAGCCTCGGCCTCCCACTCCTCCCACCAGCACCCGAGGCCTGGGGGAAAGTGGACAAGACCCACTCAGGCCCAGGATGAGGGAGCAAGCGCCTCCTTATGCCAGGCCCCCCGCCAGTCTGGGCACCCCATGGCTACTCTTTCCACCTCCCCTACTCAGAGTTGTTTCCAAATCTTCCCCAACACCATACACACCCTGCTCCCCTGTCAAGTGAAAATTTGTCCCCCTAGCTCTCCACATCCTCTGGGGTCTGCGTTCTGCTTGGAAGTGGATGGGGTAATCGATTGTGCTTCACAAACCTCTTAACGTGCTATTAATCTGTTACCCCTCCCTGGTGACACAATGCTCAGGTGACAACTATGGAAAAGAGGCCTAGAAAGCACCCAGGGAATGAGGGTGATGGCAGAGCTCCAGCTCTCAGGCAGCCTGGGAGCCTGAATTTGACAGGATGCCCAGAGTACATGTTGGGTACCTAACCTCCCTGCTCCCCCAGCCTCTAAGGCCCTGGTGCATCCCCCAACTCAGCCCTCAAGAGTTGGCTCTAGACACAAACCTGGAAGCCTTTGGGACTGCTTTGGACCACAGCATGTCCACAGGGCCCTTGGTCATCTCCCAGCTCCCAGCCTCAACTGTCCAGCCCTGCACACATCCAGGGGAGTCCACATGTACTCTCAAGCACTCGCCCACTGCAGTGCTGCTAGGGCCCCAGGGGTGCTGTAAGCTCTTGAGGGGGTGAGGGGGGATGCCTTTTGGATCTGAGTCCCCTGCACCCCCCAGTACATGCAGGGAGATGGAGAAGAAGGTAGTGCTGCCCACGTGTACAGAGGATGTAACTGTTCTCTCCCCCACTAGCCTACTGACCCCCAGTTCACTGCTCTATTCATCCTTTCCACCAGGCTCACTGAGCACCCACTGCATGACAAGCTCTGCAGTGACCAGACAGATAAGCCTGGCTCCAGGAACCAAGAGGGGAAGATACTCACAGCTCTGTGGATCTGGACAGGATGGCCGACAGTGTGAGCAGGACACATCCGTAAGGGCCTGCTTCAAACTGGAAAGAGGAGAAAGCAGTGAGAACCATCAAGTGTCTGCACCTCCCTCCTCTGGGTTCCTTGGGGACCATACCCCAGGGAGCAGGCTGACTCCAAGCCAGCCAGTGACTTCGAGCTGGGTCCCAGAGGTGGCCCCACAGCAGACTCCATGCAGGTCTCCCAAACCAGATTCCCAAAGGGGTGAGGAACACACAAGCCTCAGTGACAGCACAGCAGATGCGGTGCCCCCGAGGAAACACCCATGACCTCGGAGTCTTGGAAGCTCGCGGACGGTGGTGGCCTCCACGACCGGGCAAGTGTCTCCTGCTGATTGTCACATCTAAAACTACCATGGGCCTGCAGGATAAATACCATATTCCCCGCCCTCTGCCGTGTGAGGAAATGGGGGCTCAGAAACTGAGCAACTAGCCCAACGTCACACAACTTGCAGGCAGCCCACTGGGAATCCTGGGGGCTCCCTCTGATTCCAAATCCCTTATTCCTAAGGGGTCCTAAGAACTGCACTGGGCAGGGAGCAGGCTGGAGGACGGTCAGGTGGGGAGGTGCCAGTGAGGTGAGCCTGGCAAGTGCAAGGGCAGAGCCTGTCTTTTCAAAATTTTTTGCTGTTCATCATGAATTTTTTTGGATTAATTTTTAATAGTTTTTAACTATTGCACTAAAATATTATTTGTGCTGATTACTGTGGTTTGAGGGGGCCCCTCTGAATTTGAGGAGTGCCCCACTTGCCTTCCCCTAGTCTCAACCCTGGTCTGGAGCCGGAGGTCTGCTGCCTAGGTTTACATCCCGGCTCTGCACCCCCACTTCTAGCTATGTGACCACAGGGAGATTTCTTAATTTTCCATCCCCAGTCTTCTCATCTGTAAAACAAGGATAATACAAACAGGAACCATCCTCATGAGGCTGTTGTGAAGATTAAGTGAGATCGTCCTGGTAAAGTACGTCCAACAGGGCCCGACACCCGCATTAGCGGTCAATATGGTGCCGGGTCCTCAAGGCCAACCTGTTCAGTGAGCCCGGCAGGCCCAGCAGAACACGAATGACTAGGATGGACTATGTCACTTTTGCTTCCTAGAGGAATGCTCTCCCAGCTGCAGATGGGTGTGAAGGCCTTACTATGGGGACGATACTACTTCTGTGAGTTATTGTTGGAAATGCTGCCTGTAATAATAGTCATTGTTATTAATGGGTGATCAGTTTCTTTTTGAACTTAAAACTAAAGAAAGAGTTTACTTTCCTGGAAGAATGAGAATTATATAACTTATCATATTTCCACTTTGTTTTTGCCTTGGCTGCTAGGAGGCTCAGAGCCAAATATGATGTTCAACTACTCAAACTATTTTAGCTCAAACTTCTGATAATATTTTCTTTTCATCAAAATATAGAGTTTATCAGGGGAAGACAAATACTGTATGTTATCACTTTTATGTGGGATCTAAAAAATAAATGAATTAATATAATAAAACAGAAACAGACTCACAGATCTATATCAGTGAGGAGAGGGAAAAGGGGAAAGGCAAGAAAGGGGTGGGGAGTTAAGAGGTACAAACTATCTTGTGAAAGTGAAAGTGTTAGTCTCTCAGTTGGGTCTGACTCTTTTGCAATCCCACAGACTGCAGCCTGCCAGGCTCCTCTGTCCATGGAATTCTCCAGGCAAGAATATGAAGTGAGTAGTCATGCCGTTCTCTCCAGGGGATCTTTCCGACCCAGGGATCAAACCTGGGTCTCCCGAACTGCAGGCACTTCTTTACCATCTGAGCCACCAGGGGAGCCCACAAACTATCATGTATATCACACAAATATATTGTACAACACAGGGAAATACAGTCACTATTTTATACCTTTAAATAGAGTATAATCTATAAAAATATTCAATTGCTATGTCATACACCTGAACTACATTGTAAATCAACTACAGTTCAATTAAATATGTATGTATTTTCTAAATGTTACATACACATATAATCTTTATTTTCACCCAGTCATTTAATTCATCAAGCCATTCCAAAAAAACAATTACTGGATGAACTTTTTGTGCCAAGAGGATGTGGCTTTGCTAAAGCTCTACTTGGGAACTTGGGAACAAGGTGGACATAGGTCTGCCCTCACAAGAAGTAACTCAGGAAGGAAAGAATAACGAGCAACTTGAAAAAAGAGGGGTGAGAAAGGGACTCTATGCTGATGGGAAATACAAGGTTCCCTGGAAACACATAGGAAGGGCCGTCAATACAGACCTGAGGCTTTGGGAAGGAGGGAGTGTCAAGGAAAGCTTTCTGGAGGAAGCAATGTCTGGACAGAAACCCAAGGGACAAGGAGGAATCAGAAGAGAAGGGATCTTTGTTCCAGGTGAGAGGAAAAGCATATGCAAAGGCTCAGAGGCAAGATAGGGCAGGTTCCAAAAAAACAAACAAATAAAACCCAAGGACATCATTTCTTATCTCTGTGTGAGCTCAGTTGTGTCTGACTCTTTGCGATCCCATGAACTGAAGCCCACCAGGATCCTGTGTCCATGAGGTTTTCCAGGCAAGAATATTGGAGTGGGTTGCCATTTCCAATTCTAGGGGATCTTCCCAACCCAAGGCTCAAACTCACATCTCTTGCTGTCTCCTAAGTAAGTTGTTTTTTTTTTTGGAGGGGGGAAAGGGGGGTGGGGCAGAAATGGAATGAATGAATTAACAACAATTTTAAATCAACTTCATCTAATTCTGTGACCTCAGGCTAGTCACTTCAGTTCTGTTGTCTTCAGTTTCCCATTTGCAAAATGGGGATAACAAGTATCTCCATTGCATGTTTCCTTCCTTGGGTTATGGGGCACATCCTATGAGGCCAGGTCAGTGGAAATGCTCTGACAATACTCAGCAAAGAGTAATGCTGATGTCCTTGCATGGGGATGGGGGGTGCAGTGGGGGGGACAGAGGTCCAGGAGGATTCAGGCCACCATTACCCTTATCATGGCTCTACTACAGAGTCGCCTGTTGCCTTAGGGAGTGACAAAGCTCTCTGGATCTCAGCTTCCCCTTCTGAAATGCCTACATACTTCTGCCAATTGTCTGGGGAGGCCACGGCACTTCCAGGGCCTATTTCCCTCTCTTTGCAGGAGTGCGATGAAGTAATGAACACAGATGCCCGTTGTAAGCCTAACTCTCTCTGCAAACGTAGAGAACTATTATTATCCTCAGGCCAGCCTTTTCCACAGTCCTGGGTTCATCTCCAAGGGGCACTCACCCTGAGCCAAGAATATGCCTGTCTGTGTGGACAGGTTAGGTGAGACTGGACATGACCCCCACCTGGGGCATCTGGCCTTTGCCGGAAAACGACTGAATGACACCAAATATCCCATCTGGTTTTAAAAAACATTTATTAAAATTATCTCATCAAATTCCAGCTGCCAAGCCATGGAAGGCCACAGGGCAAAGTGCCTGCATTGAAAGGAGAGCCCAGGCAGGCAAATGGGCCGGAACGCACCAGCAGGGTCTGGAAAAATGTCTGGTACTGCTTGGGAAGAAGGGGCCATTCCCCTGAGCTACTGGGGCTCTGGAGAGACCCGAGTCCAGTAGGAGGCAGGGGCGGGACCATCCCCCCAGCTCGCAGGGGGCGGTGGCCAGACATCTCACCAAGAGGGTGAGCTATAATGAAAACACAGCAAGGAGGCTATTTATTTTGGGCAGACGTGGCTCAGTGTTCATTTCCAAGCCTGGCACGAGGAACCCCTCTTAGGCCCAGGCCATGAAAAATGAATTTGGTGAGGGTAGTGCTGAGATGGCTCAACAGTTTCCAGCAAAAACACAAATTCAACTGCAGGCGGGAAACACCGCCTTCCAGAGCAAGGGCCAAATATTGACCGCTCGTACCCAGAGACCAACGCCAGGAGAGGAGGGAGAATTGCCCTGAGCCCAGAGGTGTGGCAGGAAGAAGGCAGCTCCCACTGCTGACAAGGACCCCACTTGCAAAACCTCTTTCACATTCACTGTCTGGCTTGGGCTTCATCGAAACTCCTGGGGGTACAGGAAGAGGGAGGAGGATGCAGACGAGGATATAGACAAGGATGCAGACGATATTCGTGCTGAAGGGTCACTCCAGGGCCATCAGGGCAATGACGGGGCCTCAGATCTTTGACAATGTGAGCAGTCACCCCCTCCTATGGCCCACAGTAGCCCCACAGGGCTTCCCTCTTCCAACTCTGCTTCCCCTGACAGTGTGGACATAGGTGGCCTTGGTCCTGGCCTTCCTGAACACACATGATGCTGTCAGGAGTTGCTCATCTCTCAGATGCACTGCTGTATGCTCACACTGCTCTGGTGTGTTTAATAAAAGGCGTCCTTTCTGCCTGCTTAGCTTGCCTCGTATGTAATTTGGAAGACATTCCTTCCCACGCGTTTAAGGTTCTTCTTTAAGAATCACAGTTGGACGACAAAGAGCTGAAAGTTACCCACCAACTGCTCCACCTTCTGGTTTCCAGATGAGGCCACTGAGACCTGGTGACGTTCCTGAGGCCACACGTGACCAAGGAATAAGACAGAGAAGGTCCCCGGGCCCCTGCTCCAGGCGGCTGGTGAGCACACTGTGTCGACAAGACTGCCCACTGGGTGATGCCCATGAAGAAACAGAGAAAGCCGGGGCAGGCAGCCAGTGACAGCCAAGCCAGGACTCCCAAAGCCAAGGGCAGGACCCCTCCTACATCAGAGCCCCTCCCACATACCTCCAGGACAGGCCAGGCTCTGGGCCCCTCCTCAGGCAAAGTCATGCCCAAGGCAGCAGCTCTGGGGAGTGGACTGCAGGTGGCCCGGCACCTCAGGGGCCGCACCCTCCCTGTGCGGGTCTCATGCAGGCCCCCTTCTTCTGCCCAAGGGGCATCTGTGCTGTCAGGGCCAGAACACTCCCCGGGCTATGCCCGGACCCTCAGCGTCTCCCAGGAATTGTCCCCAGGAGTGTGTTCTCAGAGCAGGCGTGTTCAGCCTGGTCCCATAACCAGCGTGTCCTCCCGCCCTCTGGGCTCACCACCAAATGCTCTCATGCCTTCTCTGGAGCCTGAAAGGGCCGATCCCACAGCCTAGACAGCTGAAGGGAGGGCGGAGGGGAGGGAGGGAGATGGGCCTGTGCCCCCAGAAGAGGGTGGCCTCGTTGCCTTTCTCTCCTGCAGCCCGGCACGTAGACATTAGAACCGTGTGGCCTGGTGGTTGGGAGTCTCACAGGGCGTCCATCCCCAGCCATGGCTCAGGCTGCTTCCTCTCGGCCATGCTTCCCTCCCATTTCTACCTGACTATAACTAACCTGTCTCAAGGTTGCCATAAGAGATCATGACCAGGGTGATAAAACGCCCGCAGTGGAAGCCAACGACCACTGGAAACATGGAACAGGCACAGTGCTCCAGGCTCTGTACGCAAAGCCGAGGCTGGCTCCATCACCACCCTCATGCTCCATAGGAGGAAACTGAGGAACGGAGGGTGCATTGGGGTGCCAAAGCCACAGAGCTACCAAGGGGTGTAACCTAGATGCAAACACAGGGAGATGGCTCCAGAGACAATGTTCTTCACTCCTGGAGCCCCACGGCTATAGCCACACTCTGAATTCCCTCGGCTCTCTGAACCCTGGCTGGGTTCTGCCCCATCTCACAGTCAGGAGTCTGACGTATGGCTCTCCTCCAGTAGAGGGACGTCCCAGTGACCCTGGCCAGCCCAGCCCTGCCTCCCAGGACACCACGCAAGGTCCTCTATTATCAGGGCCTCCAACAACAGTGCGCATACCTCCAATCCAGCCCAGGGATCCATGTCCTAGGCACCTCCCCAGCTGATATGGGGCCCCACCCATTGCAGAGGTAGCTGCTGGTCCTCAGACAAAGAGAAGGCTCTCATAATCACAGTCTGATCCCAGCTTCCCTTAGTCTGATCCCACTCCGCCCCTGCTCTGCTGCTGCAGCCCTGGCTACAGCAGTTTCTTTTATCTGTAGCTGTGGCCCGACGGCCAGGACTCAGTGACAGAGGGCGGCTCCTCGGCCTCCCAGCCGACATCACCCCACTGCCCCAGGCTGGGGATGAATGGGGAACAACCCCAGCTCACCAGCATCTCTTCAGCAAAGAAAGCAGAAGCTGAGCAATGCACATCCCACACAGTAAACCATGGTTCATACCTGATGGATGCTCTGCTGAAGAAAAGTCACCAGCTCCTCATAGCAGGTCAAACTGTGGAGGATGAGCTGAGAAATAAACACACAGGGTGAACTGCCCAGGCCCGGTGGATGGACCCCATGCTGGATGAGCTTCTGTGGCCCTGACTCCCGTAGCGAGCGGACCCCACTGGGGAATGACTCTGCAGTCAGAGTGGTGACCTCGGGAGCAGGGGTGCAGAGGGGTTCCCGCAGCTATGTGTGACTTAAGGGCTGCAGGGTCCAGTTGGGGGTCTCTGGGGCTGCCACCTTGCTGCAACATTGGACCTGCCTTTAGCGATCCAAGGATTCAAGACACTGTGGGACAAAAGCCCAGGAGTCCGCATATCATGTGAGGTTGATGGGTGGGGCCGCACCCTGAGGGCTAGTCTCAGATTTCTGAGAAGCACCTTGAAGGCAGGGTGTCCAGGGGGGTACAGGGTGAGTGACCCTGTACCAGATCACCACCGCCAGCCAGTTCTAAGCCCAGCAGGCAGCGTCCTGAGTACAATGCAAAGCAGTGGCCATGAGTCTCCTGGGCTTTCTCAGGCAGGTCAGAAAAAAACACTTTTCTAGAAAATAGTCAACAAAGTGAGGTCCTCAGGTGGGATCCCAGGACACATATGTTCAAAAAGAAATAAACAAAGTAAACGAGAAATTCTCAGTGAAGCAGTTAACGTGTGGGAAAGTGTCACAGTTTCTGCCTGTCCACACATCGCACATTTCTTTCCTATCCTTGTCTTCCTCGAGTCTGGCTTTGTCCATCAAAGCTCTTCTCTGCTCTCTACTTCTTCTCCCTCCCACCCACAGCATCCTCTCACTGCAATCCCAGAGAGGATGCTATGACATAAGAGGGCACAGGGAAGGCTGGGTTGAGCCAAAAGGCATTACGTACAGAATGCTGCAGGGACTTCAGATTCTGTACAACCTCAGTGTGACAGGGCTTCTGTCAGCCTTTTAGCCATAAAGCCAGTTCTGGCTGGAGTCCATTTGAAAGCCCCCCACCTCAACCCCAGGTAGAGGATTCTGCTGGCCTGAGCACAGGGAGGGCTTGCCCAGCCGCAACTGAGGGAGGATTTACTTATATAAAAGGAGACTGTCCCCAAACAAAGCCAAAGTTTGCGTGATAATTTTCCAGAAAGCCGTACTGTTTCTAAGACTCCATCTGCTTTGTATTTCCCTGTTGGACTGAAGTGCTGTGTTCCCGAAGCCCTAAAAAGGAAAGGGAGATGCATGAGTCTCTGCTCTCAGAGAAGACATGCCCTAGAGCCAGGGCGAAACCACACAGCCACTCAATGAGGACAAACAGAAAGGTGGCCCAGAGAAAAGAAGGGAGCCAAGTGCTTCTTTTGTGGCTTTGAAGTCACCCACTAAGCTGGTCCGGAGAACCCCACTAACAGGCGGGGGTGGGGGGTAAGGGGGGTGATATAGAGTGGGAAAAAAGACAGCTGAAGGAGAGCCTGGGATAACAAACCCAGATCCTGGCAGCCAAAAGTCTGCCTCTCACTCACTGACGAGCATATTTCCAGACTAAGGAATGCTGACTTGCCCGTGGTTTTTAGGGACTTGAGGAAGTCCAGCCTCTGTCCTTTTGGAGGTCATCTGTTTACACAGCCTCTGTATGTGCAGCCAAAAGCAGCATGGACCAGAAGTGGCATTTGGGTTTGGGGCCACTATGACATGAGCCTGCTAGGCAGCCTTGGACTGGCCACTGCCCCTCTCTGGGGCTTGTTTCTTAATCTGTAAAGTGAGGAGGAATTGAATTTTTCTCCATCTGCTCTCAGGGCTGCCATGCAGATCCTAAGGGCCAGGGTTTGTAGGTTAACTGGAACATGGGTACCAAGGACAAGCACTCGATGAGAACAACAGTGGTGATGATGATAATACCTAACACTGACCTGATACTTAGTATGTGCCAGAACTTATCCTGAGTGCTTCATATGGCTCTTTATCATTTATTTATATGAATAAATGATTAAACTGATCAATGATGCTACCATTTATTATATGTCATTTATACTGACTCATTCAATCCTCACAATCACTCCATTAAGCAATCACTGTTATCACCCCTATTTCCCAGATGAGTAAACCAGTTAGGCACAGAGAAGTCAAGTCAATTAATCAAGGTCACACAGCCAATAAGAAATAGCACCGGAGTCAGCCTTTGGAGTCTCTTAAGTGCTGTGCTCTCCTGACCACTGCGCCCCAGTGGGGTGACCCCCTTGACTAAAGCTTAGCCACACAGCTGGAATGAAGTGAGGCTTCCACTCTCAAGGGTCAGGCTGAGGAACCAGCAGACCATCCCTGTGGATTACGGGGGTGGGGTCCTCCATTAGCAGGACAGGGCAGTAGGGAAGAGACTGTTGGCTCCACCACCACCATCTCACCTCTGAGTCTCCTCATCTGAACACGGGCCCAAGAGACACAGCAAATGGGAGCGTACTTTGGGGACTGGGTCGGCCTAGAGGCTATTTTCCAGGGTCTTCAGATGAGAGAAATACAGAGGGGAGCAGGCTGCCAGGGCCCAGGGGTTTTCCCTGGTGGGTTACAGCCCCCAGCGCTCCCTAGGGATGGGATCCCTGGATCTGATACCCTCTCAACGGGGGCCATGTGGAGGGCTGGCCCTCTCCCAGGGCAGGGCTGCCCAGAACATCAGGGCGACTCTCTGGGCTCCCCTTGACCTGGAGGACACAGACACGGTCCTTCAGCCCAGACCGCCTGCGTGAGAAGACGATCTCCCCAACAACGAGAAGACACACAGCCAGCTTGCCCGCAGCCCGGCCCACCCGAGGCAGAGCAGTGGCAACAGTCCTGAGAAGTACTTACAGTGTGACCACGGCTCTCTCGCGGCCCCCAGCCCGCCACACAATGTCTGCAATGGCCAGGGCCAGGCAATGGGTCCTGCGAGCGTCTGAAGGCTGCAGCCTGAGGACAGAAAGGGAAACGTGTTCAGGCCTGTAGTGGCAGAAGTTAGAGACGGCACAGCCGTGAGGCCGAGGACTGTCCTTTCCTCTGCCACTCAGAGGACTCAGACAGAACCTGGGACGGGGGCCTCCGCAGATGAGGACCGAGACAAGAGCCGAGAGGAAGGGGGCCCCGGCAAGGCTGGAGGAGGAGCAGGCTGAGAAAATCACCCACAGGTGCAAAGGGGCCTCGGGAGACTTGGCAGGACCCAGAAGGGTGTGCAAGAAAAGGCTGCGAGTTCTGACAGAGCCCGGGAGACTGGGCCCAGAACTGCTGCCGCCCCACGCAGAGGCACAGCCCTGACCCACCCTAGCTGGGCCAGTCCCGACACCTGGGCCCCGGAGACAGCGGCTCATGCAAGCAAAGAGGTGCCCTGTGCTCCTCCAGCTGATAGGGGATGAGACCCAAAGTGTGGACAGGAAGTGGCCTGACTGTCTGATTGCTTAGACACGGGGTGTGGAGACGTGGGAAAGGAAGGATTCATGATGACTGCAGGGCTTGGGGTGAGCGTATGTTGAAGCTGAAATGTGGGCACAGGGCGGGGAGCAGGGAGACAGGAGATGCATGAGGGACCTCTCCCCAGGGGCCCCCCATGCCCGCGCCCTGCCTCAGGTGAAATTGTCATTCTAATGCCCAGGAGAGCAGCTTGGGCTGAGTAGAGGTTTATGGAACACCAGCCTGTGAAGTGTGCTGGGCACTCTGAATGGCTATCATTTCCCAGAGAGAGGATGAACGAGGCAGAGGCGGGGCCGAGGCTAGAGCCCGGTGGAATTCCAGTATATGAGGGAGGCGGGGAGGGAGGCAGGAAGGGCAGAGCTCAGATAGGGGCCAGTACTATCTTAGGACTAAAAGGGTTTAAGAAGGACAGGCAGTCAGCGGTGTCAACAGTGGCAGAGAGATCTCTGGTGGTGCTGGTGGCAAAGAACCCGCCTGCCAATGCAGGAGACATGAGACATGTGGGTTCGATCCCTGGATCGGGAAGATCCCTTGGAGAAGGAAATGGCAACCCACTCCAGTATTCTTGCCTGGAGAATCCCATGGACAGAGGAGCCTGGTGGGCTACCGTCCAGAGCGTTGCAAAGAGTTGGACGTGACTGAAGTCACTTACACACACACGAGAGGCCCCTAGTGCACGAAGTCAGTAAGGGAGAAGGAGCAGCAGTCAAATACAGACGCCCTTTCTGTCTCCAGGGCGCCACAGAGCTGTGCTTCTTGCCCAGCCCTGGATCCTGGGAAGCTTTCCTAAATTCCTACAGAGGCAGGCTGAGTGTCTGAGTGTTCCGCTACCAAAGGAACAAAAGGGGATTGATGCCGGGGCTCCCAGGAGCACGGAGGGAGTTCCCATGCGTTCAGTTACCAGGTACCCTGAGCTCCAGGCTGAGCTGTTGGGAGAAAACTGGTGTTTGTCCTTCTTCCCCAGGGTAGGAAAGGAAACCCTGGAGACCAGGACACAAGTCACCATAGGGGGCAGCACACGGTCACAGCCTAGAACCTGGGACACAGAGCCAGCCGTCTGCACCTAGGCTGTTGTGGTGCAATGTCTTTAAAGTGGGAGGCGACGTGACATAGGGTCCCTCCATGTCCCACTTCCTAAACTGGCCATAGCAGTCATACCTCCTGCATCATGTCAGGCGATTTACATGAGATGATGTGTGTCAGGTTCACGGCCAGTGCCTGGCGTGTGGAGGGTGCTCCTTAAAGGGTACCTTTTGCTGTTGTCTTTATGGAAGTGTCCCCACTTGACATTTGGCTGTGGCCAAAGAGTTGACAGGATGGTGAACCCCTGACATCTGGTGTGAAAGTGACAAGCCACCGACACCAGGCAATCTTTCAGTGAGACAAGCGAGTGCTCCACCACTTGAGAAATGAGACTCCGAGTGCCTGGGGTGTGTGCAGCCTCAGGAAGCCTGCCTGCTCCTCTGGAAACCGTTACCCCGCCATCAGCACCCGACACTTGGGAAGCACTGGCTGCGGGCCACTGTCAACTACGAAAACAAAGGTGAGGAAACATCGCTCTGGGACTCAGGAGCGGCCGCCAAGGACCACGGAGGGACGGGAACACAGGGCTTGTCAGACAAAGGAGAAAGGGCTGGACATTCATCTCTTTGCAATCAGAGCCCATGGATGTGGACTCCGTCATCCCCACAGCTCCTGCTTCTGGCCCTGCCCCCACCCAGGTGACAGTCAGTCATGTCAGTCCCAGCTCCTGAGCACCCATGCTCATCCTGGTCTCACAGGCTTTAGTTAAATACAGACCCCCTGAACGTCCGTGTTTCTGCACAAAGTCCTGGTTCTCTCCACTGGCTTCCATTTAGCCCCTCCATCCTTTCCTGGGCCTCCTCTAGTGCTTTCTTTTGAGACAAGCTTTCCAAAAGATGGCAGCGTGGGGGCAAATGCAGTGGTGGGGACTGCGTTCCACTCCTGGCTCACTCGGGGAAGCCCCTTGCCCTCGCTGGCCTTCACCTCCCCACCCGGAAATGCAGACACTGGACCAGATGTCCTGAGCATCCTTCCAGCCTTGCCCTCTGCCATGTAGCCAGCCGCAGGGTGTCCAGGGCTGTGGTGGGTGCGGATGACCAGAGGAAGTGGGGAGGTGCTGTGCTGAATCACTGGGCCTCCACCTTTCCCAGGGGAACTCAGTGTCTGCCTTCACCTTGATGACAAGGGTGGTGCTGAACTGCCTTCTTCCAACCCCGACCATGAACCCAGCACCTGGCTGCACTCCTAAACCAAGAGAGGCTTCTTTGCTGCTGCTCGGCACTCAAGTCATGTCCGACTCTGTGTGACCCCACGGACTGTAGCCCACCAGGCTCCTCTGTCCATGGGATTCTCTAGGAAAGAGTACTAGAGTGGGTTGCCATGCCCTCCCCCAGGGGATCTTCCCAACCCAGGGATTGAACCCGGAGTCTCCTGCATTGTAGGCAGATTCTTTACTGCTAAGCCACCAGGAAAGTGTCTTTAAAAGAGTCTAATTCCTCCCAGGAGAAGTGCAGGATTTGTCTAGGGATGGCGATGGGGGTCAGGGAGGAATACGTCCTGTGTTTGGCTTAATTACCCAGGTCTTTTAGATTAAAAAGATGGTTCTACCACCCTCATTAACTCAAAGCAGGCTCTCCTGTCCACTCTGACATGCCCACCAGTCTGAGCCTACAGAAGAATCAGAGGAAAGCTGGCAAGTGACTGCGGGTCTTTCTTCCCCCTTTCTGGGTCACATGCTGCCAGCACAGGCCTGGGGACCACTGGATCTGGAATCTGAGCCTGGCTCCACTGACTAGTGTCTGGAGGGGCCTTGGGCAAGCGCCCCTCCTTCTCTGGGCCTCAACTTCCCCAGTTGAGAAGGGAAGTGAAGGCAGGAGGACAGCTCTCTGGCCCATTGTGTGTCCCAGGCCCTCAGGGGAACGAGGCTCACCATCGCTTCCCACGAGCCAAGCCGGCCGGCACAGCCCATCCTGGAGTGGAAAAACACCAAGTCCTGCCGTCCGGCTCCATCCTCCCCAGTTGAGCAGAGGCCGGCTGCCGGCCTGATGGAATGAGTCTTAATAAAGCCAGACAGTCCCGCAGAAAAAACACCACTGCTGCCAAGAAGCCTTTACTTCAGCATGATTTCCCTGGAGGGCGCAGTTACATCTTTGTGCGGCTTTCACAGAACCATTTCCCCATCATTTGTTGGGGAGGCAGCGAGCAGGGGGGCATCCCCACCAGGCCTGCAGACGCAGTGCAGGAAGGCCCACCAACCTTGGTCCAAGAGACCCCCCAAGGGCCCAGTGTGACAGCTGCGGATGCTGTCCCTTTCCCTGTGTGACGTGAGGGCCTTTGCGGTGTTCCTAAAGGGAACAGAGGAGCTTGCCTGCTTTTTTTTTTTTAAGCCGGATCATTTCTGAAATCTCGGATTTCAGAATCAAAAGCGAGGACTGAAGTTTCAAACCCAGCTCAGCACACACAGCCCATGCGGCAATGTCAATGACCCGATCAGTGTCGAGATCATACAAATAAATCCATGCAGCCAGAGGGGCTGGGGCTGCGAGAGGTCCCTGCAGAGATGTCTAATGCCACCCTTTCCTCACATGAGGCAGCAGATCCCCAGGGGTTCACTGGACTCTTCTGCATTGATTCTTTTTTTTCCCCAAATTAGGAAAAAAGGGGAGGTTCCTGCCCAGAAGCCCTTTGTGAACTATAGCACCTACAGAGCCATAACTTCATCACTGAGAGTCTGTCTGGGGTCCAGCCCTCGGGTGTTTTAAGCCCATGACACTTAGCCTCCTGGCGCCAGCCCCTTTCTGGCCTCTCCGGCCATTCTGGTGCTCTGAGTTTCTTGCGGGGCACAGCATGGTGTGACACATAGGGTGTCACGTACCAAGCTTGGCTCTACCTTGGAGGCCAGGTGTGAACCTGGGCCAACATCTTTCTGTCTCTGAGCCTCAGTTTCCCTGTATATACCCCAGTAGGTGATCCCCAGGTCCCACCCACTTGCACAGCCCTTGATTTATGAAGGACTAGGTTTCATTTCCTAAGTCAAGTCTTGGGTAGGACAGAGATTCACAAATGGAGAAAGTGAAACCTTGCTGGCCCACGGGCTGTAATCCAGGTCTTTGGCTAGTCCAGTACTCTTTAGCAGCCACCATCCTGGGACAGGCTAAGACCCCAGAGCTGAGCACTGCCCCAGCCTCAGCACAGGCACCGACAGGGTGCACCGACATCCACTTGGCACGAACAACTTTCTATGGCCTCTGATCTGCAGGGCCTCACTTCTGCAAGCAAACCCAGACTTTCACCCTTCCATCCCTCGGCTGCCAGCCTCAGGCCCCAGCCCCACGCTCCCCTGGCCTTTGCTTGACCCAAGTCCTAGCCTGAACCCAGGAGGACTCTCTCCTCTCACCCCCAATCACCTTCCAGTCCCAAGGCAGCTTCATGCCTCAGCAAAGTCAGGCCCACTGCACGGCAGTGGGAGGAGGAGACACGGGAGGAAGGTGTAGAGGCAGCTGGTGTCCCTGGCCCACAACCTGTCACCACTGGGACCTCCCTGAGCTGGTGCCCCACAGAGCCGCATCTTCCCGAGTCCCCTCAGGCACTTGCAGCGGCTCTGGCTAGACAAGGGAGCCTGGGTGCCTAGGCCAAGCTCTCTGTCCCTCCCTCTAGGCTGGTCATGAAGAACATCCACTCTTGGGTCAGCTTGGCCGTCAACGTGAGCAGGAAGGCAGCCCACTCTGCTAGGCCTGCATGGAAAGCAGCTCTCGGTGCAGGGCCCCAGGCAACAGGAAAGGGACTTACCAGGAACACCTCAGTTGTGGGGCTCCAAAGAAAGGTGAGTCACTCTTCTGTAGCATGAATCCCTCCATGCCTCTTGTGTGGGGGGACCCTGTCTGGCCAACCAGCCGAGCTCTCCCGGCCAATCTGCACAGGCCTCCTCCAGCCTGGCCAGGCCGCCATCCCCTAGAGCAGGGTTCCTTCCCACCAGGCACACCCCACACAGAAACCCCAGCAGCCAGCAGCTCCTTCCAACCTCCTCCCGCTATGCACCACCAGCTGGCCCCGGAGGGCCCTTAGTCAAGGCTGGCCCCAGCTCATCTCTCTCTGCTGATACAGGTTTCTTTCCACCCAGAGCCTGTCTTGGGCCCCTAGCTGGAATGGCTTTCTGCCTCCCAAACCCTGGCTTCCTTCTCAGGTGTGGAAGGAAAGCAGAACTCTCTCCCAAGGACATGCCTGGAGATCCAGAGGTTGTCACACCCCTCAGTGGGGCTGCAGGGTGGGAGACTAGAAACCAAGTCTGCCATGTGCACAAACAGCCCTTCAGGGAACCAACTTTCTGAATGTTGGGAAATGATCCACAACTTCCCCTGAGAAGCCCAAAGTCCAAGTTCAAAAGCAGCTCTGAAGGGGCATGGGGCTGAAATGAATTATTAAACATCTTCCACAGTGGCCAAAGCCAAGGCTTGACCTGAGCAGGCTGCTGGGCCCTGAGGGCCCTCTGGTAGCCCGGCCCTTACCCACCCACCAGCCCAGAGCCCCACCCTGCCCCTCTACAACTCTGCCCTGGTCACCCCAGGCAACTCTCAGCTCCTCTCCCTGCCCTGGGGCCTCTGCACATGCTGTTCTCCTTACTGGAATACCATCCCCTCCCCTCCCAGTCAGCCTGGATAACTCATGCATTTGTCCATGGCTTCATTCAACAAAAATTCTGAGGGCCTTTTCTGTGGACTAGGTCTGAGGCTGGATGCCAGGAACGAGCTATGGACCAAGAAGTCCAAGAAGACTCCTGTTCTCAGGGGTCTTGTGTTCTGGGGTGCAGAAGATGGGCAGGTGATGACTTGGGATAAAAATGGCATCTAGTCGTAGGGGGCTTGCAGGCAGCAACTGGGGAGGTCTGGGAAGGCCGCCCTGAGGTCACAACTTCTGCACAGTGAGGAGCCAGGGGAGGAGTCTGAGGGATTTGCTGGGAAAGGAGAAACCAAGGGAGGAACAAGCTCATGCAAGGATGTGTGTGAAGCCAATTGGGAGTCCTGCTCACGATCCAGATCTCAGCTTAAGATTAAAGTGCCATGCGTCCCCAGCAAGCACCCCACAACACTCTTCACGCCTGGATGGGCCCTGAGCACTTGGCCGGTCCCATGACCTCCCACTCGTCTGGTCTTGTATTCAGGTGTAGGTCCCATGAGGGCAAGCCCACAGTTGCCATGCCGGGCCCCGCACTCCCTCCAAATGCCTACTAAGTCCTCTCTGCGTGCATCTCTCCTGTGAAAGGAGGGAAAGGGGACAGGGGGTGCACATGTGCTCAGAGAGGGTCCCTGTTCCCTTTGAGAGCGGGCAGCCAGAGGCCCCTCACTCAGCCAGTCCCGCCCAGCCAGTCAGGAGCATCCGGGACCATCACACATGGCACGCCCCTCTCCCGACCACAGCATGGGCAGCACTTCACTGGATTGGATTCCAGAGCAGGCAGAGAGGGGAAGAACAGGACAAAGACCGACCCTGCTGTGGAAATGCCATGTCACTGGGCTTCTGGTAACATACACTATACCTCCAGGTAGCATCTTTCGGCTTGAAATCAAACACCTTGATTATCACTTCATAAAGTAATTAGACAAATCATCTTATTGGACAAATTATAAAATTCCAAGCATGAAAAGCTACCTTCACTTGGACTGTCTAAGGCCACATCCTTTAAGCTGGTAAAACATGTTTCATTTGTACCAAGCTTGGCAGGGTACCTGGAGAACTAGTATCTTTCCCAGTAAACCGAACATGAATAAATGGGAGATGTGGGCCTTGTTGTCTTTGGGAAACAAAAAAAAAGCTACCAAAATGCCTGTGTCAAGAGCGAGTCCCTTTAATTAGGGTTCAGGAACTAGCAGAACTAAACTGTGACTTTCAAATCTGGTAAATTACAGCTTTGGAGAAGAGAATGGAAGTATCTACTGGGTATGAGGAATATTTTCTTTCTGGGAATATTTTCTTTCTTCATCTGGGGATGCGTTCATGGGTGTGTGATTTTGCAATAATTCATTAAACAGTACAGGAGTTGTGCACTTTCTTGAGCTGTGTACTTTTCTGTATGTATGTTGTGGTGTGGTTTAGTTGTTAAGTCATGTCCAATTCTTGTGACCCCCATGGACTGTAGCCTGCCAGGCTTCTCTGACCATGGGATTTCCCAGGCAAGAATACTGGAATGGGTTGCCACTTCCTTCTCCAGTATGTATGTTAGATTTCAACTGAAAAAAGAAAAAAAAAAAAGAACAAGTGCCAGAAGTTCTTCAAATCTGAGGGTTACTCAAAACAATTGGGAATGCAGTTATAGGTTAAGAGAGCTGCCTCTTCAAACTGGCCAAGCAAGCTGGTCTGCCCCTGGCCAGCCCCTCAATAATCCTTCTAACTGAGCACCGACCACAGGGAAGGGTCAAGGTTTTCTCTCTGTCCCTCAACCTCACAGAGCACCCTGGAGAACAGAGAATGCATCTATTCCTCTCTATATCACTTGTGCCTACACAGAATGTTCCAGAAACATCTGTTGAGAGAGTGAGCGTGAGAATGAGCTGTGTGCAAAAACTCAGCATGTGCGGTGGAGAATGAATGGCCGAGGGTGGAAGCCATGTCCGGTGGGGCTGGTTGGACCGTGTGTGGGGAGATGGCTGCTGGCAGAGATGGGGTAAGGAGGGGAGGGAGGGGAGGCCTGGGCTCAGCTCAGAGGTCAGTGACCTGGGTGTGCATGGATTTGGGCAGCTGCTGCTCCATTCCTGGGTTGGGGGGTGGTGAGGATGGCCTGAGTTTCAGTGCTGTTCCAGCTGCTGCTTCTCATGTGGAACAGGACTTAACAAGCCTGCCCGCTCACAGGAGACAAACACATTCAGGTCATTTAAACAGGCCTGTGCTGGCCCTATTAGCCAGCCTCCATTTCCCTTTCCAGAAGACGGGAAATATCAGGGAACAAACACACGTTTCCTTGCTTATTTGTTCTGGACAGTGAGGAGAAGCCTTGGGAAAAGAAGATATTGCCGGAATGAGCACTGACTTACCGAGTGCAGTCAGAACTGCTATCTCCTTCAAACAGGAGTTTCTGCAGGACACAGCCCTGGACAGCCGCCAGGACCCCACAGGGACCACCCTGCAAAGAAGGACACGCATGAGTGCCTGTGAGAACTGACCCATGGCTCAACCTTCTGTTCCTCCAGAACCAACCTCCGCCCACAGGTTACAGAACACGGAGAGCCCAGGCCCCTCAAACAGGGGTCTCTGTCACGGTGTCTACTTCCCTGAAGTGCTGACTCTCAGTCACGGGGAGAAGGTGGCAAAGACCCTGGCACCCATTGCTAGAGGAATGTATGTGTGATGTGTGAATGTGAGGTGTGTGATGAGAGGAAAGCAACTCTTCACAACAGGCCATTGTCACAGGTGTCCAGTCATCCAGAGACACAGTTCCATGTCCACAGGCTGAGAGTGTCAATTATCTATCCATCCTAAAGGCCTCCTCCTCCAGGAAGGCTTCCCTGACCACCTCAGCTAAACGCGACCCCCTTGGGCCACCTCCACTTGTGTGAGCAGCATTGTCCCCGGCCAGTAGCCTGCCTCTGTACCCAGCAGGTGTGTCTCAGAGGGAGGGGGCTCCTTGAGGAGCTCAGCCCTGCAGCCATCAACAAGTACAAGTACTGTCAGAGCAGGGTCCGCAGGTGCTCTTGAACTCCGGATGCAAGAAAATGTGCCAACTTGCCCAAGGTAGCGGCAGAGGCAGGTGGTCTTGGGGTTTTTCCTCCCCCTGCCCCACGTCCTTGGGGCAGTGTGGGTCAGGGGGAGGCTCCTGAGGCTTGAGAAATGGAATCTGGATGAGCTGCTGGATTTTATAATATCTTCTGGCCCAGAAGATACGCCTTCTGGGAAATGTGTTTAAGCCATGTTCAGATCCTGCCACAAGCTACGTGCGTTTCCCTGCCTTATGTCCTCTCCTCCTCAGGTCTCCTGGTTCTCACACCAGATACTTCTGCCCCATTCTGCAGTTCCTAGGTATTCCCAAGCCTCCCTTTGTTCAAGCTGCCACCTGTTTCCAGCATCCTTTCTCCAGCTCTACCTGAAAAATCACCACTCGAGGTACTCAGCTAAAGGACCCTCTCTGGTAACCCCAAGTAGACACAGGGGCCCCCACCCTGTTCCCTCTCAGTGAGGATTCCCACATCACGCATCACTTACATTAGGGGTCATATTCCCCAGCCCTGCTCTGCCAGCCACAGTGAAGTTCCTGTGCTGGGAGACAATGTCCCTGATGGGCCCAGAGAAGGGTCCCGGGGGGAACTTAAAAACAACCTGCCTTGTTCTGCACAATGCCATATTTTAAGGATACTGAGTCATTAAAGGAAAAACTCTGAAGTTTCCACTCTTCGTTGAAACAGCAAAAGCTGGAACCAAACAGAATGGTCTTTATGTCCTGTCAAAAGAAGAAAGAATTTTATTGGTTGTTTTAAAAGCAAACAACAACACACGGCTGGGTGTTTGCATTCCCACAGGAGCTGGTCTTGAATTCTATCTAGCAGGGTAGTCTGTTTTCCAGCAGGGTCATCTATTCCTTTTTGTTTTGCAAACCCATTTTTCTCATATTTGAGGAAAGAGAAAATTGACCCTGAGGGTCCTACCTCTGGAACATCTGTAAACCCAACCAGCCTGTGCTGACTCAAACCAAAATCTTTTTAGGTTCCTTAGATGTTCCTTAATACACAAAATTTTAGTCTGACAAGGGACCTTGGGGATTCTTGACTGCACATTATAATTACCTACAGAGCTCCGAACAATCCTGATGCTCAGACCCCATGCTGGACCAACTGAAGCACAACCCCTGGGCGTCAGATGCTGTGATCTATAGTTGTAAATGAGTCCAATGCACAGCCAAGTTTGAGAACCTCTAGCAAACTATGACCCACAGGCCAAATCCAACCCTCTACTTCCTTTGTAAATACCGTTTTACTGAAATGCAGCAATACCCATGTGTTTACATATTATCTGTGTTTACTTTTAGATTACAATGGCAGAGTTGTGTGGTTGCAATTGAAAGCCAAAAATACAGGATCTAGCCCTCTGTGGAAAAAGTTTGCCAGCCTCAAACCGGTACAACCCCTTCCTACATGTAAGAATCTCAACATCACCAGAGAGTGGTGCCCAGTGCCCCCCAGAACTTTGTCTGAACACCCCAACCACCAAGTGAAGGGGTTCCCACTATCTCCCAAGGCAGCCCCTCCAGTTTTTTGCAGCCCTGTCTTCTTCAAACTTCTGGCTGACATTGCTCTCCCATCAAACCAAGCCCCACCCTCCAGAGCCCCAGAGAGCGCCAACAATTCCCCACTGACTGGCCCTCGGATGAGAGAGAGGAACCTCTCCCCAGATGCCCCCCCACCCCCGTGCTGGCTGCCTCTCCTCTCTCTGTCATGAGTTTACACCCCAGAGGATCTGAAGGGCCAAGGCGTGGGTTCTGTCACTACACCCTCAGAGCCCCCTTCCAGGTCATATCTTTCCTACAGACTCATATCTCCCTCTGAGGTCAGTTCTTTCTTTTCCCTGTGCGTGCATGCTCAACACTGCCCGAATTTTATCAACCCCATGGACTGTAGCCTGCCAGATTCCTCTGTCCATAGGATTTCCCAGGCAAGAGTACTGGAGTGGGTTGCCATTTCCTTCTCCAAGGGATCTTCCCAACCCAGGGATCAAACCCACATCTCTTGCAACTCCTGCATTAGCAGGTGGATCCTTTACCAACTGTGCCACTTGGGAAGTCCTTCTTTTCATTAAGTACAGGGGAAAACTCTGTGACAGAGCACTTTTCCCCACGTCATCAAATGTGGGCTGACACCACACAGGGGAGAGGGATGGCTAAATCAGGGCTTGGTTCCCCTTCTTGTACCAACTACAGTCATCCATGTATTTGGACTGAGTTTCCCAGGAGCCTAGAAACTATAGGAGTCTGAGTTTTCTGGCTGAAGCCTATGCCTGTTCTCTCAAGCATAGAACGACAGCTCTCACCTAGGCATCGTGTAGTTGCCAGGTCACAGGGTTGCGAGCCTGGAAACCTGGGTTCTCCTCGCTGTAGGTGCCATGTGTCCTGGCTTGTCCTTTCTCTGTGGGGGCCTCTGTTCTTTCTGCTTTGTTTTGAGATGCTACTACTGGGTGGTCTTTAGGGGCCTCTGAGGGCCCCTCCCAAAATGATAGTACCCACTACAAAGAATCATAGCCTGTGGCTATGTCTGTGGCTAAGGACAGCCAGAGCACTTACTGCCAGGCGTGGGACTACTTAAGACCGCTTGCCTGACCCCCTCCCTGTGGTTTCAAAATTAGGAAGGGAAAGAGAGGGGAGGGATGAAGAGGGATAAACTCTAGAAAAACCTTTGACTTTTCATCTGTGTGCTCAGCAAATACTTGGTAAGTAGGAAGAGAAGAGGGTCAGCTGTGTCCCCAGGAGTTTTATTTTCTCTTCCTGAATCCTGACTGAAAAGCCAGTGGAGGACAGCAGGAGCCTCATTCCATCCTGCAGGAACTGCTGGCCATGGGGAAGGGCGAGGCCCTCTGGCACTGGAGATGGAGAGGAGGCCAGGACATCCCCGCAGAGGAGGCTGCTAAGGTCAGGAACTGGCTCCCAGGGTCCTGCGACTCTCAGGACATCCCCACAGAGGAGGCTGCTAAAGCCAGGAACCAGCTCCCCAAGTCCTGTGACTCTTAGGACATCCCCGCAGAGAATGCTGCTAAGGACCAGACTGGCTCCCGGAATCCTGTGGCTTCAGGAGGCCACGAGCATGACCGTAGATGGTGCTGAGACATTAGCCACACTCCCCTGTCCTTCCCTCGCTGCCGCCCAGCCTGAGCACCGCTCAGGGGACCAGTGCAGGAGCAGCGTCGAGCTAATGAGGATGATTATTCTGGTCCCAGGTCTACCCTGGAGTTGGCGGGTGCAGACCTGGTGAAGCAGCTCTGGGCCAAAAGAAAAGCTGGATCCTGGAATGTCTCAATGAAAAGACATTGTATCCTCACCTTTACTCTCGGAGAGGGAGAGGGAGCTGCCAGCACTAGGTCCCCATTTCCCTGACTCTAGGCTCATGTTTTTTCCCACATCACATGCAAATTTCCATTTCAACAACGACTGAGAGATTATAACGAGATGAATGAAGGCAGAGAGAGGAAGATCATCTCCTCCCACCAACTCAAATCAAGACACCTTCAAGTCATACCACACCAATTCACATCAGTTCAAATCAAGAAATACATCACCTCACACTCTGCAGTTGACACCTACCTTCGCCACCGAGAGGTCGATGGGCGTGGATACTACTTGCAGCTTGCGCATTGATGAGACTGGAGACAGGATGATTTCTTCCCTTACCAGTTCATCTTCCACATCCTCTGGAAGAAAATCGTGGCCATGTGAGCTCTTCGTCATGATGTACAGAGAACAGATTAGGAGGCCATTTAACACCCAGGACACTGATGAGTGCTGAGAGGGTTGGGATGAGAGGAGGGGTCCTCTACCATCCACCCCGCTGTTGACCCTCTGGGGCTTCCAAGCCCCCATCAGAAGGGAGAAGGCAGAGCAAGAGCCCTTGCTCCCTGTCACCCCATGCTGGTCCAAGGACACTGGCAGCTGGGACACGGCTCTCAGTCCACTAGAAGGCTCTGCTTGTGAACATGCAGGAACAAGGGCCTAGGCCTAAGCTGCTGACTCAGGCCCAGAAAAGCCTGGCCCAGACTCGATTCTCCCAAGAGGCAGACATGACCCACAGATCTGTCCCCCCGAGGATAAACATGAAAAGGGCAAAATTAGGAAAGAAAGTGCTGCCCTTCCTGAGAGAATAATGACAGTTATAATAAATCATCACTATTGTGGTTTTCACTACCTATGTTTATCACCTAAGCCCCACTCCTCGAGAGAGTAATTCTTATCATGCCCATTTACAGATGAGGAACCTGAGGTTGAGACAAGCTAAGTCATTGACCTAAAGTCACCCAGATGGAAAGTTACAGAGACAGAATATATCCCAGAGAATATCTCCCAGGCCAGCTCCCAACAGAGAATACCTCCAGAATATATCCCAGAGAGTATCTCCCAGGCCAGCTCCCAACAGCTCTGCCATCCTGCCATCCATGGATTTCCAGCCAAAAGGGACACTAAGTCACATTGCAAATACAGCCTTCTCACAGCTGGAGTGACAGAGGCCCGGGAAGGTCCCGGAGTGAGTGCTGGCAGCACCAGCCTGAGCCTTCCCTGGCAGGCGAGGCTCCCTCTCGCCATTACACCTGATGTGGCACCACTTACCAGAACCCTCAGATGCGGGACCCACATGAAAACAGCCCAAGGCAATGATGCTGGCAGAGCTCAGCAGGCTGCTCTCCAGGGAGCCTCTGGAGACTTCCTCCCACCCTTTTACAAGACTAAATGATTACTTAAAAAGCACACCCCATTGTATAGACCTCAACTTCATCTGCCATAAGTCTGTGCACGTGGAACCATAGAAATGTCACAGTCCCTGCCGCGCATCTTCTGAGACACTGTTCAAAGGTCAACATCCCCAGGACACGTGCCGTAAATCTTAACGCTACAGCCTCCTTTTCTTCCCTGGAAGAGGACCAGGCACAGCATGAGGCCAACTCCTAGAGGCTCAGTCCACTGAAAAGGAGACAGATTCTACCTTTAGGCTGAAACAGAAGTTTCCAGTAAGTCTGGAATTTAAATGAGAAACTTTCTTAGTGAGGGTCTCAGAGAAAAGCCACCCTATGACCATGGTCTTACAAAAACACCTGAAATAAAGACCAGATGTTCACACAGTAACACACACAGGTCTTAAAAGCATGCCACTGGGTAGAGAAAGTAAAAAAGAAAATGCAATTTATAACACAACACAATTTATATCCAGTATAAACACATGCACGCAAAACAACTCCAAACATTTTTGCATGAACACACACAAGCGAAAAGAAATCACTAAATACACAAGGGTGGAGTGGTTGATAGTGAGGAGGGTCATGGGAGTGTGGGGTGGGGCTCAAGCGAAATCAGGAAGGAAAGGTAAAAGGGAGGACAGTGGGCAGCTTTTCAAAGATCAAAACTGAGAAAGTTCACTAAGGTATGGAGATGTGTGATTAATTCAACCCGAGGCATCTGAGGCCCAAAAAGGAACTGAGTGATTCCACCAGGCCACAGCAATGCCTCCACCCAGACTGCTTCTGGGAGGCCCACAGAGGGCAGGATTTAAGCCTATTTGGAGGCTGCTGTTTAGTCTGGGATGTCCCAAAGGGAACTGGGGCTAAAACGTGTTCTGCTCAAGCCCATGAACTGAGTCTAAGGATGGAGGCTGGGGGCCCACGGGAAGCTGACTGGGTGGAGCCCCCAAGAGGAGGCGGCCTCTGCCAGGAGGCAGTTGGCGCCTGCATGGGGAACTGGTTCAGGACAGCTAGGCAGGCGCAGATGCGGCGGGATCGCTGTGCAGGGGAAAACAAAGCACTCTGGCATGACATGTTGGCCAAGCAGACAAACCCAGCTGCAAATGCTGATGATTTTCAGCTGCTATTTTTAAGGCCCGGTGTAAATGTCTAGTTGAAAAAAACCAAGCGGTTTTATTTCCCATACCATTTAACTTACTCTTTGGAGAAAGAAAACATATACATAACCTCGGAAGTACTTAATAGAGGCCTGTCTATCTTTTTCCAGGTCCCCGCTCAGTATTTCCCATTGACTATAAGACATCTTCTGCTGGAAGTGCCACAATGCCCCAGACTCAGGAATCTCAGCACTGAACCCCTCCAGGCTTCTATTTTGATTACAGAATCCATCTCCCCAGCCCTCCACCAAGGACCCAGGCCAAAACCTCAACCCTCTCCCACACAGCACACTGCTCTAGCCTCCAGGTTATCCTGCCCCCAGAATGCCTCATAACACTGCCCACCTCCCACACTTTCCCTCTCCACTTTTATAGCAACGTGTCATTATTTTTCTATTTGCTCATCAAGCACTTTACTGAACACCCATGATGTGCCACTGGGTATGTGGGACAGAAGAGGTCCAGAGATGAAAACACCATCCCTGCCTTCAAGGAGCTCACTAACTAAAGAGGGAGACAGAGCCCTAAACAAATAACATGATGTCAGTGCTAAAATGGAGATTAAGACAAAGGTTCTAAGAGCAGAGAGGAAGAAGCAAGTAATCCTGCCTACAGGGTCAGAAAAGCTTCACATAAATGGTAAATATTTGAGCAGGGTCTTGAAATACCCAGAGGATTTCCCCAGATAGGACAGGGGCCCAGTCACCTCTTTTCTAGACTATTCCAAGAGCCCCCACCTCCCACCAGTCTCCCAAAATCCAGGCTTTTACCCCTAAAACTCATCCTCCACCCACATCCAGAGACGGCCTCAAACATCATTCGCTTCACAACTCTGCTTGATAAGTCCTTGTCCATCCTTCAAAGCCCAGTCTAAATGATTCCCCACTGTGGAACCCACCACAGACTTGGCTAAATCGCCTCTTGAAGCAGTGAAGAGCTGCTGGTCATTTACTTTGGTGTGGTTTTCAGAAAACACCTCTCTTCCTTCATCCTACCCAACCCTGCCCTCCAGGAAAGCAAGACCACTTTTCATCACCTCCGTCCACGTTCAACAGTCCTGTTTGTGCCCGGGCATGTAAGAGCTAACCAAAGTGGGCAGAAGTGAACCCAAGAAAGATGAACTGGGGTGAGGAAGGGAGTGTTGTCTCTTTAAATAAACTGCATTCCTTGTTTCTGGTTGATCCACCCCAAACTTCTCCTCCACTCTCTCTGGGTAACTGGGTTCCATGAGAGGACTCTGGACCTCTGATCTTTTATCTCAGGGTCCTCCTCTAAATCGTTAGCTGAGCCACCAGCAAAGAGAGGCTGGCCTCCCTCTGGAAAACCACACACACTTCAAAGAGCTGGGTTCTGAGAGAATTGCTAAAAGCCTTCCTCCCAGCAGAAGCCCTCTGGGTTCTGAGGGCCGGGAACCGCTTCACTTTACATCCAGACAGGAGTGGCTTTCATTAGAAAACCTTAGAACGCTTTACAGAAAGGTTTCAGATGCCAGTGTTTTCTGGCTCCATGCTTCATTCTGCACAGCCCTGTGCCCAGTGAAATCTGCCCCTTCCTGGGTGGGCCAACGATCCCACCAGCCATTCCTGTGAGGAACAGTTACCTCTGAAGAAAACTAAGTAGAATAAACAAGCCCCCTGCTTCCATCACTTGGAGGCCAGTCCCTGCCTTTCAACTTCATCAAAGCAAACCGTCAGACAGCCTGTCTCACACCAGGCACTTCTAAAGGGCAAGCTGCTTTCTTCCTTCGTGTAAAAGGGAGTGCTTAAAAGGAGAGGAAAAGGATGTGAGTAGCTCCCAGCCCTTGTATGCCAAAATGGTCCAAAAGGTATCAATACATTGCCAGCTTCCAGGAGAAGAGCAAAGGTCAATGGCACTCAAGCCTCGTCCTTTCATGTCTGGTCCTTGGTTGTCATCCTTTATTCTATTCCTGGCTTTGCCAAGGCCTGCAAACATGTTAGTCTTTGGGGAATAGAGAATTCCAGAAGGAGGAAAAAAGGTGGCTTCAAAGAGAAAGAGTGGATGGACAAGTTCCTGTCTAGATCTTACAGAGGAGGTACCCAGATGCATACACAGGTGGAAGGGCATGATGCACCTCACAATTTGTATTTTACACTTCAGTGAGGTGGTGTGTGTTAGTCGCAAAGTTGTGTACAACTCTTTGCAACCCAATGGACTGTGGCTTCCCGGGCTCCTCTGTCCATGGGATTTCCCAGGCAAAAACAGTGGCGTGGGTTGTCATGTCCTCCTCCAGGGGATCTTCGTGACCCAGGGATTGAACCCGGGTCTCCTGCATTGCAGGCAGATTCTTTACCATCTAAGCCACCAGGGAAGCCCCAAGGATATGTGGGTAAAAACTTTTAAAGGATGGGCTTCTCCAGGCAGAGATGTACGAATATTTCGACTGAGCACTGTCTTCTAGAGACTTCTGTAGGTGCTGAGAAGCCCTAAAAGAACCCCCAAATGCAGAAAATGCTACTCTGCCCCCTCTCTCCCAGTGTAGACCTAGAAGTGTGGATTTCTAGATTTCTCCAGGTGAGACGGGCAGTGGAAGATGGATTTGGACATCAACCAAAAAAGAAACCTGCTCTACTCTCTCGGCCAGTCCCTCCTTCCCAAGGTCAGGTGGGAGAAAAGGAGCCTCGCCCCAGCCAGCAGAAAGCCCCACCACCCACTACCTCCCAGACAGACCAAATGAAGACTGCTGGACCCTGCTGGGCAAGCACAGAGGCCCCAGTGGTACCTACCAAGCTGCAGCACATCCAGATCACCTTTGACCTTGTTGGACACTGACAGCTGATTTTTCCTACAGAAAAAAAAAAGGGAAATGTCAATGCAGCATAGGAGAACACCAGAGAAATGCAAACAACAGAGAAGAATGGGAAGAGCGCTGGCTGGGCCTTCAGGAGGGGGGTTCTCTCCAGACCTGGCCCTGCCTCTCTGTGTGTGCCATCTACCAGCACTCTCCCTCGCTGAGCCACAGGGTCCACGTCAGATGGGATCAAATCACTTCTGGGGCACTTCTCAGTTGTGCACACACAAACACACCCCAGCCAAGACAGGATAAGAGACCCTGTAGTTTGACACTTGCCAAGAACTGAATGCAAGCACTTTTGCTGATGTCACTGTAACACTGCTGGGAAACACTCGCACGTGCACATGCACACACACACACACACGAATCAAGTTCCTGCAATCACTGCACAGATTTTCTTATCTCATTTTTTTGTTTGTTTCCTTTCTCCCAGCTTTCTTGTAAAGCTATCTGCAGCCATTTCTCAGAAATCTCTAGAATGCACCAGACAGAATACCTTCTGTGATTCTGACTAGTAGATTTAGGGATGTGCACACAGAGCCTTCTTTAAACAGACCACCTGTATTTCAGCTCTCTTTAGATTTTCTTTTCCTTCATCCAAACTAAAGTAAAATCTTTTTTTAAATGTATTAAAAAATAACAACATTACATCACCCTCTTGAAAAATCCATTTACTATGTTAAAAATGACAGCTCTTTTGAATATAGCATTGATATGTATTTTCCTCCAACATCCTTGCAGGATAAGATATGATTGAAGTAACAATCGTAATCTTGCCACAGTAGGTTCTATTGAATTGGCTTCCTCCTGAAGATGTATGAAGGGGCGTGAGTGGAAGACCGCGGAGGAAGCACAGTACTGAATCCCCCAGCACGTACCACTTCGGACCCCAGGGTTCCTATCTCTGGCGCTGGAACACAGAGCACCTCCCCATCCCTCCCAGGCAGCCCTGAGCCTCTCACGTCCCCCTCCACTCAGCAAAGCCCACTTTCCTCAATTCGAAACCACAAAATTCCCACGCTACCAGGGTTCTGCAAGCCTTCTTGCACGGAATGGTGAAAGAACAAGTTAACTTGGAAAAAAGAGCTAAGGCACGGAGGGGCAGCAGAAGGACGTGGTGGTGGTGGGGGGGGTGCGGTTAAAAGAGAGGCTGTGCCCACCTCCCCACCCCCACACCCCCCCTGCCACAGCGCCCAGCAGTGAAGAACTGTGTTTTCATCAGACGCCTCCACCCCACCTCTCCCCCACCACCCGCGCTGCAAGGGAAGGCAAGGACCCAAGTCCCACTTCTTCTATCCCCTCTGTCACCATTTCATCCGGAGACTAAGGTGCTACGCCTCAGTGTCCCAGTCTGAAAAATGAGGACTTGGGCGCAGGTGCTGGATGGCCTCTAAGAGCCACCTTGAGCCATTCTGAGCTGGAAATATCAGGAGGAAAGATGCCTCTGGACCATTCCACTGCCAAATCTCTCTGGTACCCATCTCTGCTCTCTGCCTCTTCATCTGTCATCCAGATCATTCTCACAGCCCTCTAACTGGTTTCCTGACCCCAGGGTAATGCCCTACGTGGTGCTGGCCCCTACATCTTCACAAGTGTCAAAGGCATCTTTCTATAAAGAAAGTCTGATCACACCACGGCCTGGCTGAAATTCTTCAAAAGTTCACCAGCATCATTATCATCAACAACGGTCATCTTATTTATAAAAATGATGGCAATTATAACAGCAGATGCGTTCTGATTTCTTTGACTGTTGCAGCATCAAAAGTCACCTGCTCCTCAGAAGAGCCTTATGAAGTGGTCAGTGCACTGAGTCTCAGAGAGGTCCAGTAATCTCCCCAGAGTCACACAGCAAATGGTGGCAGGACAGAAATATAAACCCAGGCAATGACACTGTCAACTAAAAAAAAAAGCACAATGTGAGGGTTGGAAGTTAAGCTTTATTGGGGGCAATATGAGGTCTACAGCCTGGGAGATAGCTCCTCAGATGGCTCTGAAAGACTGTTCCAAAGAGGCAGAGGGAAAAGACAGTATATATGTGATTTTGGAAAAGAGGGAGTACATGCAGTCAAGCACATACTTCTTTTGTAGAAAGTTTCTGCTGGTCTCATGAAGCTTCTGCTAGTCACAAGAAACAAGCATCACCATGAAGAATTTTAGTCCTTTTCTAGATATGAGGAGATACAAGAATTGGGCTCATAAACTCCGCCCTGAGAATATCTAACTATCTAGAGATCTGTCCTGCCAGTTTCTCAGAGCACAGAGTGCCACACTCTTCATCCTGAACTCCTTTAGGGAGGTGTTCTAAGTCAGCAGCTGCAGCAGCACAAAATTTAATCCTTGTAGAATTAGATGCCAAGCACCCACTCTAAGTTCCAATTCATGGTTGACAAAGCCAAAGATAATGGCAGCAAACACGGCATATACTGCTTGCTCATAAAACAAAACCCAAGCCCATTAGTGTGCCTGCTGGGCTGCCTGTGACCTGGCCACCTACCATCCCAGCGCCACCTACCTCTGCACCCTCCCACTCCACCTGCATGTCCTCCGTGCTAACTTCTCAGCCCACACTGCTACACCTTTGCACAAGCTATTCATTCCTACTAGAATATCCTTTGGCAAACTCATACTCATCCTTTTCAGCCCAGTTGGAATGCTACCTTCTTCTCAACTCCAAAGCATGCATGTATTCGTTTCTTCACTCAGTCACCTAGCAAGCGTGTGGCAGTTATTCAGTAGGTCTGTCTCCCTGCCCCAGTGAGACCCAGTTGTATACAATAAACACACACAAGTTGCAATATGACATGGCACAGTAGGCTGAATAATGGCCCCCAGAGATATTCACATCCTAACCCCTGGAAATGGAAAATGGTAACTGATATGGAAAAAAGAACTTGCCAAAGAGATTAAGTTAAAGATCTTGAAACAGAAGAAAACATCCTGGATTATCCAGGTGGGGCCAACCTAATTACAAGTGTCCTTATAAGAGGGAGGCAGAAGGAGATTGGACACAGCAGAGGACAGGTAGGATGATAATGGAAACAGAGGTTGAAACGATGCACTTTCAAGATAGAGGAAGGGGCCACAAGCAAAGAAATGAAGGGTGGCCATGAGGAGCTGAAAAATGCAAGGAAACAGATTCTAGCTGTTAAACAGCTAGCCCTGCCAACACCTTGGCTTTAACACAGTGGAACTGATTTCAGACTTCAGTCTTCCAGAACAGCGAGACAATAAATTCATGTTGCTTTAAGTCAGTAAATTACTGGGTGATTTGCTGGAGCAGCCATGGGAAACTAATACGTACAGAGAGAGAAACACCAAGGAGGAACAATGGACTGCAGGAGTCTCTTGATGGCCTCTGTGTCCTGCATGCCCTGCACCTAGTCACTGCTCCAAAAATGGGCGCCAAGTACCAGAATGACCCTCACACAAGCTAGGCGGCTCACACAGGTCACTCAACCTAGAGGTGCCAGAGCCAGGGCTCAAACCCAGGCCGCTGGCTCCAAATGCTGTTTTGCTCTTTCTTGTATTTGGTGCCTCCTTTCCCTGCCCAGAACCCTCCACGGCTGCCTGTGGACCAGAAGACAAAACCTACACCCCTCAAGTGGTCCCCTTGGCTCCCAAGGGCGAAGCCACAGAAGCAGGCAGACTGGCAGGAGCCGCGGGGAGAGGGCAGGGATGATGTTCCCGCCGTGCAGGGTACAGCTGGGCCTCTTCCCAGTCATGAGACTTCCACCCTGAGGCCATCCATCAGCCACGAGGGTCGGGCTCAGATGCTGTGTGCCGCTTCCCATAAATCTCTTCACCAGAGGAGACTTCAGTCATGCTCACACTTAGGGAATGTGCTATTGTTCCTTTCATGTGTCCCTTTGTGGCATAAGCATTACACAGTTGAAAAGGTCAGTTTAAAGGCATTTTCTTGCCTTTGAGTGAAAACTATTATGAGCAACAATGACAAAAAGATAAATCAAGGATTCGAAACACTTGAATCAAGGATAAATCAAGGATTCAGACATGTGTCAAAGTGTGCATCTAATAAATCTAGCGGAGCCAGGCTGGAAACACCCACTTGCCTGCTGGGACCAAGGCCTCCGTTTTCCAGCCAAGACCCTCTGTGGGCTCCACACCCCCCACCCCCAGGAGGGGCAAAGGCTACGGCACTGCAGGTATTCAGGGCTACATAGAGCCAGGACTCAATCCCTGGATAACTGGGTCTTGGGTAGATAGAAAGAGCCACTCAGAGACCAGGGTTTTTGCCCTTGATCCCCCAACTCTGAGTGACCCCTAGGCAAGACACTCACCTCTGCAGGCATCAGACATCTCAGTTATACCTTAGAGAAAGCCTGAGCATGGCTGTGGAACATGACCAGGTGGGCGGGCTCTGAGAGGACGGACATGCCCAGCTCGTGCTATTCTTGAAGATGTTCAATTGCTTTTGCACCGAACACACAGTATAGTTCACCAGCTCTTAGCATAAAAACTGACAAGGAGCTGTTCTTTCCCCCGTGTTTGATACTGGATTCTTGACTAAATTAGTTATGATTACAAAAGAAAGCTGTCCCATGAGAAGAAACACATTGATCACTTACTATATATTCTATTTGATGAAAACATGGAACCCAGTGTGAATTGATCCCACTCATGTTGCTTCCCTGGTAGCTCAGATGGTAAAGAATCTGCCTGCAATGCAGGAGACCTTGGTTCAATCCCTGGGTCAGGAAGATCCTCTGGTGAAGGCAATGGCAACCCACTCCAGTATACTTGCATAGAGAATTCCATGGATAGGACATGGGGTCGCAAAGAGTTCGACAAGCAACTAACACAACAACATGTTGTGCAAGAATCCAGAATATAAGAAATTTACATAAAACTTCCCAGCACACCTCACTGAAGCAATGTAAAATTATCTAGAGAGACACTTCTACAAAGCAAGGCACATAAGCTTGCCCAGGAAAGAGAGAGATTTTTTTAAGTCCCAACTAAAAATATGCTTA